ATACATTACCTATGTACGTTGTTGGATGGTGTTTATTATACATGTACATACTTTACCTATGTACGTTGTTGGATGGTGTTTATTATACATGTACATACTTTACCTAGGTACGTTGTTGGATGGTATTTATTATATTTGTACATACATTACCTAGCTACGTTGTTTGATGGTGTTTATTTTACACGTGCATACATTGCCTAGGCACATTGTTGGATAGTGTTTATTATATTTGTACATTCATTACCTAGGTACGTTGTTGGATGGTATTTATTATACTTGTACATATATTACCTAGGTATGTTGTTGGATGGTGTTTATTATACATGTACATACATTACCTAGGCACGTTGTTGGATGGTGTTTCTTATATATGTACCTACATTACCTAGGTACGTTGTTGGATGGTGTTTATTATACGTGTACATACATTACCCAGGTACGTTGTTGGATGTTTATTATACATGTACATACATTACCTAGGCTCGTTGTTGGATGATGTTTATTATACATGTACATACATTACCTAGGTACGTTGTTGGATGGTGTTTATTATATTTGTACATACATTACCTAGGTACGTTGTTGGATGGTATTTATTATATTTGTACATACATTACCTAGGCAATAACGTACCTAAGTAATGTATGTACACGTATAATAAACACCATCCAACAACGTGCCTAGGTAATGTATGTACAAATATAATAAATACCATCCAACAACGTACCTAGGTAATGTATGTACAAATATAATAAACACCATCCAACAACGAGTATAATAAACACCATCCAACAACGTGCCTAGGTAATGTATGTACATGTATAATAAACATCCAACAACGTGTGTACATACATTACCCAGGTACGTTGTTGGATGGTATTTATTATATTTGTACATACATTACCTAGGTACGTTGTTGGATGGTGTTTATTATATTTGTACATACATTACCTAGGTACGTTGTTGGATGGTGTTTATTATATTTTTACATACATTACCTAGGTACGTTGTTGGATGGTGTTTATTTTACACGTACATACATTACCTAGGCACATTCTTGGATGGTGGTTATTATATTTGTACATACATTACCTAGGTACGTTGTTGGATGGTGTTTATTATATCTGTACATACATTACCTAGGTACGTTGTTGGATGGTGTATATGTTACGTGTACATACATTACCTTGGTACGTTGTTGGATGTTTATTATACATGTACATACATTACCCAGGTACGTTGTTGGATGGTATTTATTATATTTGTACATACATACCTAGGTACGTTGTTGGATGGTGTATATTTTACGTGTTCATACATTACCTTGGTACGTTGTTGGATGTTTATTATACATGTACATACATTATCCAGGTACGCTGTTGGATGGTGCTTATTATACATGTACCAACGTGACCTAGGTACCTTGTTGATGGTGTTTTTTTTTCATGTACCGACATTACGTAGGTACTTTGTTTGATGGTGTGTATTATACATGTACGAACATTATCTATGTACGTTATTGGATGGTGTGTATTATACTTGTACCTACACTATTTCTGGAGGTAACATTTACACCTGTACTTACAGCAGGATCTCTAGTTTATCGAATCCAGATATATGTTACACTTTTACTTTGACCTTTTCTGTTCTCAGTAGCAATAGTTTCACGTATCTTTTTGAGGTTACATACAGCTCTTACTGAAATTTTGTCTCATTTTGCCGCATGGAGTGGCCTTCGTCATCCAAAGCTTTGAGTTCTATACGTTACGTATAATTTTTTTCTCCAGAAGCCATGATTGACTTCATCAATCTAGTGTTTGGAGTAGCATAATGTACATTTCTATTCTTAATGCTCATGTGGTAATGTCTGATTGGTTGGACGATTACTGCATGAATTGTGACTTGTTTGTATAAAATCTTATGATATATTGTAAAATTACTTTCGTTTTACAGCTGAGTATGAAGAAGTTGTAACCATTGCTAGACCACCTTATGACGTGTTGCCGAAAATTCCAGCAACAAGTAAAACAGGATACATCGTCTCAACTTTCCGGGTTTTACCGGGTGAAGACAGAGAAAAACTGGAGCGTAACTGGCTAACGTGGACTGGGGCAAGCCACTTGTACAAGAAACTACCCAGCAACCTGGGGCTGCGAAGAATTACTTTTCATAAAACGAAAAATCCTCACCAGGGAATTACGTACGTCTTACTTTATGAGTGTGCAGAGCTGATGAACTTCGTAACCGAGGCTTGTGTGTATGTGGACCAGCTCCGAGCAAGGTGCTGTGGTTATACGGCATTTTTCAGAGTGGTGGAAAAGTTTTGAAACAGTAGTTATGTCTTTTTTTTTTATAAGTAGTGTCTAGGGTAAAACTTAGTCACGTGTTACCAAGTTACGTAATATTATTCTAAAATACAAAGTCCGTTTATACAAATGAGTAATATCTAATACAAAGTAATCATTAACATTTTATTGATTTACGGTCAAAGTATTAAACACCGATGTGCTAAAACAAGAAGACAAGAAATGGGAAGAATTGCGTTCGTTGTTCCTAATTATTGAGACGGCTGTAGCCCGAACTTTCATTTTAAGGTTTAATGTTATTTCAGGTGCTATTTTAACTTTTTAAATTCATTTAAGTATTTAAAAATAACTGACAAAAGTGTATAAGCCAAGACAAAAAGTTACTAAACTTAGAAGATGCAGTCAAATATTTATAGAAAAGCATCTCTTACAATAAAAGCAACAACAATACATCTGATCGAAGGGAAGATGTAACAATTGCAATATTCCAGAGATAAGTGTTATCCCTCAATTCACCAAGTGAGGAGTGGGGGAAACATACAACCATGTAGACAAGTAACAGATGAAATGAAAGGATAAGCGTTTCAATAGTCATCTGTGTACAAAGACAGAGTTCTAATGTAGAGTTTACATTTAGTAGTAATCTGACAAAAAATATAGTGTTTTGATGTACAGTTTACATCTAGTAGTAATCTGACAAAACAAGGCAGTGTTTTTATGTACAGTTTTCATCTAGTAGTAATCTGACAAAACAAGGTAGTGTTTTAATGTACAGTTTACATCTAGTAGTAATCTGACAAAACAAGGCAGTGTTTTTATGTACAGTTTTCATCTAGTAGTAATCTGACAAAACAAGGCAGTGTTTTGATATACAGTTTACATCTAGTAGTAATCTGACAAAACAAGGCAGTGTTTTGATGTACAGTTTACATCTAGTAGTAATCTGACAAAACAAGGCAGTGTTTTGATATACAGTTTACATCTAGTAGTAATCTGACCGAAACAAGGCAGTGTTTTGATATACAGTTTACATCTAGTAGTAATCTGATGAAACAAGGCAGTGTTTTGATATACAGTTTACATCTAGTAGTAATCTGACGAAACAAGGCAGTGTTTTGATATACAGTTTACATCTAGTAGTAATCTGACGAAACAAGGCAGTGTTTTGATATACAGTTTACATCTAGTAGTAATCTGATGAAACAAGGCAGTGTTTTGATATACAGTTTACATCTAGTAGTAACCTGACAAAACAAGGCAGTGTTCTAATGTACAGTTTAAACTGCTGAGAAAGCAAGAACATAAAATATTAAAAAATGAACATACGAAGTTGAATTGTTCCACAATAAATTTGCTTTACTAAAAATATGGCACAGTCCTTAAAATAGTCTGTGTTTCAGCTGTGCCATCATCTTCACCACCATTATCAGCATTAAGATTTAAAATCAGATACTGACTTTTACACCCATATCACCTTCAATTTACATAATCCTATATCACACCTTCAATTTACATAAACCTACATCACACCTTTATCATCTTCAATTTACATAAACCTACATCACACCTTCATCACCTTCAATTTATATAACCTACATCACGCTTTAATCACCTTCAGTTTACATAAACCTACATCACACCTTCATCATCTTCAGTTTACTTAAACCTACATCACACCTTCATCATCTTCAGTTTACT